CAACTTATTGATCGACATTCAGCACTACAAACGTCGCATAAGGAAGATTCCGACCGCATTCCATTCACTCTCACGTTTCACCCTCACAACCACTCAGTTAAATCCATCATTCTTAAAAACTTTAAATTACTTCAAAACGATCCAGAGACAAGCACTATCTTTTCGCAGCCTCCGCTCATTTCATTCAAACGCGACAAAAACATAGGCAATTTTTTGGTCAGAAGTTCTTTTCAGACTAATGACCAACCAGGCACTTTTAAATGCGCTCGTGCACGATGCAAAACGTGTCCTTTCATTCACAACACTGATAAAATATCGGGACCTAAACGATCCATTAAGATCACCGATCACTTCACGTGCACCTCCGCCAATGTAATCTATTGCATAACTTGCACTTATTGCAAAAAGATATACATCGGCGAAACAGGCAGAAGACTAGGTGACCGATTCCGAGAACACCTTCGAGACGTGGAAAGGAATGACAAGGACACATCGAAACCAGTCGCTAGACATTTTAATTTACCTAATCATTCTAAGCAACATATGGCAATCTGCGGTCTTTCCTTACACTTAGGTAGCACGGAAAGCCGTAAAAATCTTGAACAAAAGCTCATCTTTCAAACCGGCAGTCTAAATCCCACAGGGATCAACGAACGCTTTTCATTCCACTAATTTATTCTTGTTTTTCTCGTTGCCATGTTCCCACCAATAACGTAGCTCCATTCTCTGCCTTTAAAAGCACACACAACCCACAATTCCTCTATTCGCTCCGACGAAGGGCTAACGCTCGAAACGTCAGCTTTTGTAATCGTTACGGTGGCCAATTTACCACTTCAACTTTGTTGATAGATCCAAGTATAACTTAGATTCTTTTTCAGTCAAATTCAGCCATGGCAAACTTGAGGACAATGGAATTCTGGGCAATTAAATTGACGATGCTATTCGCTTTTACAGTTATCCATTTCAAATGATATGAATTTGAACTAAATGCAACTTTAATTAATTGAAATGGAAATCATGTGCTCAATGTAAATATATAGAAGTACCGGTCACTACAAAGTTGTGTTAAGGGAAAAGTACGTTCATATTGGCCGATTATCACCATCGTCGCTGTTTCATTGCCATTTAAATTACCATTAAATAAGCCAATTAGTTGAAAATTGAAGGTTACTTTTAGATGAAAGATCGTCCATTGGTTAATCATTTTTCCTGCAATTAAAAACCCTTACCACGTGGAACAACAAGCCGAACACAGGCAAGAGTGTAACGACCTAAAACAACTTTAAATTATGGTTTTATAAACCACACCATATTTGGTTTCATACGTTTTACCAGTTAAATAAAAAGGAAAACTGGCTCCTGGTGCACGTTGACACCAACCAATAGATTGGAGGCCCTTACTGCATCCAGTTGAAGTAAATACCTCATAGCAAGGGCTTCAGCAAGCGCCAAGGAAAAGAGCTCTCAACCTCCGGCTGCCCTCTGCATCACATAATCGCGTCACTAAGTCCCATGATTTTCGCATCTGCCTTTACCAGATATGGAATAATCTGGAAAAATCTATGGAGGTTTCTCAGAAGTGGTCCACAGATCAGGCCGAGAACGGTGATCCATGAACCAGGTCCACTAGAGGTGGACCACGGACTTTGGTCCACTTTTTCAAGTTGGACACATGCCATAAATTATACATAAAGTATAGAGGAAAAACAATGCAATCTCATTCAATACTTTTAAAATAAAAAAAATAACCCTAATATGTTACAATCATACACCAGTTTTTCGTCTAGCTGGCTCGGGCTTAGAATAGAATGGACGGATAAGCCTTTAATAGACTACGACAAGATTGAATTAAAATCAGTAGCTACAACCAGTTACAAAATGAATAGAGACATTTTACCTCGCTAAGCTGCAGGGGCAAAACTTCATGATTTGTGGATCGGGTTTGGACGTCACCGGGAAACGGCGTGAGTTGCTTCGCGTAATGCGACTAAGAACAGTGCGACTGATGAAGCACATCAAAGTGTAACATAGCCAAAAAAATCTCTAAATAACATGGGCCACACGAGTAAACTAAGGGTAATTCTTTTTCCTTTTTTTTTTTTTTCGGTAATCCAACTTCATCAGATTAACCTGAAAACAGTTCCTGTCTTACAATATGTGGTATCAACTCCAGTCGTACAGTAAAATATTGTTAAAACGATTAAACGGCAGTGAAAATTAAGAAAGTTACGCATTGACTTGAACCCTTTGTCACAAAATCTCTACGGACTCCGCAGGACTGTAAACAATCTTTTTCCAACAGATTTATTTTCGACGATCACCGCCGACGTTCAACAGTTCTCTCGTTACAACAGCTCAAGGCTCTAACAACTTGTAACAGTCTAAAACTAGAATCTAATACGGTATTCATAGTTCGCGTTGAGAAACTACTTGCTAGTACGTTTTTCTATGATCACGAGTACAGCCAAACTATTGTAATATGTCTATATTTAACCCAACAGCACGTTTCCCCTTCCTTATCAGACGAAATAAACGCGTGCAATTATAACATCTCTCTTACAGTAAATCAACTACGGACTTCGTTTACAAAATTGTGAAATGTAACCCACTCTAAAACCCTATAAAACCTAAAGTAATGTATATAGAGAGAACTCTAAAACCCTGAAAAACCTAAAGTAATGTATATAGAGATTATTTTATGGAAAGCGCACACTGCAACGATAGGTATTCGCCTACAACTGGACTCCTACCGAAGAACGCAACAACAACGGGGGGAAACTACGACCTCGGACAAAACCTGTTAAGACACATTACAAAAATACCTATTTTTTGCGCTCACCCTGACAAAAATGCTTACCGTCGCAAATTCAAAGATTGTTTCTCCCCTTCCCTATTGCAATGTTGTTTGCGGTAACACAAGAAATGCATCATAGAGCTGTTAAGCCCCAAC